GAGCATTAACAAGGATCTGAGTGGGTTTTCCTTGGGTGGTCCTTGGCTCTGACTTTGAAAAAGCAGTTTGTGGTGAGTGTTGCCTGGTATAAGCCCTCTCTCTCCGTCTCCTTTCTGTTCCAGGGGGCCACCCGGCTCCCCCCCGGGCCCGTTGCCGAGGGCGACCAGGAGGCGGGGCTGGAGGGGGCCTGTGGCGGGTCTAGTCAGGTGGTCTGCGAGGTCTTCTGCCCGGATCAGGGCGTCGCAGGGGTAGGACGTCCGACCATAGGTGTCGGGGGACTAGGGTTCGGGGTGTAGGAGTTCTGGGGTTCGGGGTGTAATGGGCTGTCAGGGGACTGGGGTATCGGATACAGGGCGAGTGGTATGTAAAGTTTAGGGGTGCTGGGGTGTCGGGTATAGGGGGACGGGTGTGTAGAGTTTGGGGGGACTGGGGTGTCAGATATAGGGAGACTGGGGTGTAGAGTTTGGGGGGACTGGGGTGTAGAGTTTGGGGGACTGGGGTGTCAGATATGGGGGGACTGGGGTGTAGAGTTTAGGGGTGCTGGGGTGTCAGATATAGGGGGACGGGGGTGTAGAGTTTGGGGGGACTGGGGTGTCAGATATAGGGGGATGGGTGTGTAGAGTTTGGGGGGACTGGAGTGTCAGATATAGGGGGACTGGGGTGTCAGATATAGGGGGACTGGGGTGTAGAGTTTGGGGGGACTGGGGTGTCAGATATAGGGGGACGGGGACAGTATTGTGCTCTGCTGCCTCCCAGGAGTGGCCTGCTCCTGAGGCCTGACTCTCCTGCGTGCTCTTGCCTTCAGGCCTCGATGTTCGTGGTGGAGCCCCTGCCCTGGTGCCCCCACCTGGAGGGGGTGCGGCCCCTCCCTGCGGGGGGCATCGACGTGCTGCGGCCCTGTGAGGACTGCGGCGCCGGGATCGAGAACTGGCTCTGCCTCACCTGCCACCAGGTACGAAGCCCCCCCCCCGCCGCCGGGCTTGTGTGAGACCCTGGGCCAGAACACGGGGGATTAAAGGCGACGCGTTGCCTTGGCAACCACGGCTGTCCCGGCTGATTCAGGATGTGAGGGCCCTTTAAGACGCACCGAGCACGTCCCCGGAGGGGCGAGCGACCCCGCAGGGGGAGACCCTTCCGGCGACAGTCCCGGAGGGGAGTGTGGAGCGAGTGTGAGGCAGGTTGTTCTCTTCCTCCAGACTGGAGCCCGTGAGACTTTCTTTCGGTTTTCGCCATCCTCCCACTGGTGCCTCCCGGCTTCGACTCTTACCCCTGTTCGCCGCGGCTCCTCCCCCTGTTACACTGTTACAGCCCCCTTAACCCTTAAGCCCGGGTCCGAGGGGCCCGTAGCAATAACAATCCCGCGACCGCGAGCTGACGCTTCTATCCCACGAGACCTGCAGCGACCAGGGTGCGAGCTGTCTGTCCGTCAGGAGCTGCTGCAGGCGCAGAGCAGGCCTTGGTCAGGAAGGGGGGGGCGGGAGCAGACAGAGGCTCCCGGCAGGGTGTCCGGGTACCTGCCTGCGCACTGGCGCCCCCTGTGGCGGTTTGAAGCCGCGCGCGAGCGGCGCCGGGAGCCGAGGGGGTCGGCCCGTGCGCGGCGCTCAGGTGCTGTCTCCCCCTGCCCCCCGCGACAGGTGCTCTGCGGCCGATACGTCAGCGGGCACATGGTGGCGCACGGGCTGGCATCGGGGCACGCGCTGGTGCTGAGCTTCGCCGACCTGTCCGTCTGGTGCTACGACTGCGAGGCCTACGTGCACAACGAGGTAGGGGGCCGTCCGGGGGGGGGGGGCTGCTCTTGGGCTGGCGCGGGGGCAGAGGGGCTGGCGTTTCGTGTCTGGCTGAGAAATGAAAGAGATTTCGATCTCTGTCTCAGCGTTCCTTCGTTCCATCCTTCCTCCTTTCCTTCGTTCGTTAATTCATTCATTCAGCCAACCAGTTACTCAGTCAGTACACACCGAGCTGCGTGAACTGGGGCTTGGTGAGCTCATACTCTGGGCGAGGGCAGCGTACAGCAGAGAGCCAAGGATAGACAGCACCCGCCCAGCACATCTTCACACCCCAGCGCTCTAGACACACAGCGGCGGTACAATCATTAACACACTGGCGCGCGGTGAGAATCCACACCTGACGCCCCAGCCTCAAGAGCAGGAGCCAGCTTGTCCCCCTGCAGGGCAGGAGACGCTCGGAGAAGGAGCACCTCGTTTGTGTCTCCCAAGCTGTCCATCTTACAGAAGGCTGTTCTGTTTTCGGCTGTCACCATCTCACAAGCCCGGTCAAGGGCATGCTGTCCTCTCCTCGCCATCTCACTCCCTTCCTCTGTTTTCCTCGTTCAATCTTCTAGATGGTTGGCTTTTGGTTTAGGTGTTGTTCAGGTTTAGGTGTGGGGTCTGCACAGCCAGATCCTCGGGATTCCCCGTCTTCTCTCGCACCCCGTGCCCAGCCTCGGTCAGGCTGTCCCTCGGGCCCGAAGCTCGCCAGTCGGCCGACGCCGCAGCGTGGCCCCCCCGGCTCTCTCACGCCCCCTGCTGTCTCCCCCAGGTGCTGCATGAGGCCCGGAACGCGGCTCACTGCGCCAAGTTCGGCGAGGGAATTCCCCGGACGGAGTGAATCCTGGCAGGACGGCGGCGGGTGGACGGGGAGGGGGCCGAGAGAGAGTGTGAGAGTGGGGGGTGACTGAGCGATCGTGAGTGAGAGGAGACGAGTTACTGCGTGAACCTCCGTCTGCACCAGCTGTCTCGTTCCCCCATGGAGTGCGTCCAGCTGCACTGCCTGCCCTTTGCTGGGGCAGCTACACCCAGACCCGAAGCCTGGGTCGAAACAGGGAGAATGGAACGGCCCCGACACAGAGCCATCGCCCCAGAGGCACAACACCAAGCACCAAACCCAGCATGCTCCAACACGCCGTGTTGGTGGACCTGCTGCAGCTGCTCGTGTAGAAAGGCAGCCGTGTTTCTGGGAGGGCTGTGGGACAGCTGGACAGACCCTGCCTTGTTTTTAATTCAATCCAGGAGGGGCTGTGCACACGTCAGCCCCACCACAGTCACCGAGGTGCCTGCAGCACCAGCGCTGATTTTATCTGGTTTTAAGCAGTGAGTTTCTTCTGGTGTGAATGAGTGAGTGGCGCCTACTCTATGCAGAGACTGGGGTCGTGGAATTATCAGTGTTTTTAATGTTATTGCTATAATTATAAATCCTATTATAATGTCGTGTGTACTGAATGACCGCTAATTAATTTCCTGGATCCCTCCCAAACCGAACACAACAGATCTTCCTTTTCCACTTCCGGCCGATGTGCAGCTTTGATTTTGTTCCCCTCTCGGTGTCACTGCTTAAACAGCCCCCCACCCTGGTGTGGTGTGTGGGCTGCGGACTCGCACTTTTTCTGTTTTCCTGTTGAGAGCTGCTGGAAAGCCGTTCGTGGGTCCAGTGGGGGCAGTCTGTCCTGTGAATCGCGCTGGAACTCCTCGGTGTGGCGCGGGGGAGTGTGGGAACATAGCGGCACCCCCCTTGCCCCCTCCACCTCCCATCCCCTCCCGCTGGGGGAAATACGGGACCCAGGCTTTGGGGGTGTCGTCCACCACCAGCTGACAGACTGTGGACTCTTCATTTCCTGTGGCTCCTACCGGCTAGCGTTCCTGCCTTTAAAACTGGGAGCCGCCTGTCTCCGACACTGGTTATCTACCGACTGAACAAATCGCAGCAGGAGACCGAGACGGGCCTGTGTGTTTCCCGGGGCGCGCAGCCAGTGTTCGGTCAAGCTCTGGTATTTACAGACACAGCCTCGTTAGAGCAGGGAGCTTGTTTTTCTTCCTGTTATCTTCCCGAAAGAGACCCGGACCAACAGCAGTGCCTCGGATTAGTCTGCCTACCTCGCCAAGCGTTAACTGTCCCACACGGGGTCTCGGGGTCTTTTTTTATTTGCTGTCGTTTATGAAAAGAAAATCACTGTGTAAGCTAGGTGCCGATTTTGTAATGGGAGGTGTAACCTTTGTACCACACGCCTGTTGAGGTGCTGATTTATGTCACTGTGGTTCACCCAGTATTAAAAAGGAGGTTGACCTTATTCTGATTTTGATCTTGTTTTTTTTTTCCCTGTCCCAAATGCTGAGTACATAGTTTTTGTTTTAAGTACTGGAATGATTTGTACGTTTAAACGTGTCCATTTCAGCTGCAGTGCTTCAAAATCCTGCCACCACCTCTGGTGTCAATTGTCATCTCATCCAGCTATTTATTGAAAAGAAACAGGGTTTTGGCTCTACAACTGCACCTTGTTCCACACTCCCACCACCCTTTGTGTAAAGTAGTGCCCTCTGTTACTACTGGAGGATCTTATCCAGCTTTTTCTTGAAAGATAACCTGGATATCGCCTTCAAACAACAAGGACAGGCAGCTTGTTCCACACCCCCACCACCCTTTGTGTAAAATGCCTTCTGTCGTTGGTTTCAAATGCACTTCCCTGCAGTTTCCACTTGTTGTCTGGTTCATGCTTCACTGCTGGCTCTGAAGAAGTCCACTGGGTTGACCTTGTGGTGTTTGAATACGTGAACCAGACCTTTTTCTCTTAGCTCAGCAGTTTGCTGTAGGACGTTCTTGTGAGCTCGGATCAAGCCCGTCAGGGCAGGAGACTGAAGTCTGTTGTTGAGTACTGTAAACATAAGAATGTCTTGACTGGTGGGATGATGGGGTGGGCTGTACAGGGCTGGGAGCAGTTCCAAATTCGTTTCCATTCCATTTTAACCAGTTGCCGTTACTTCTACAGCGTGCACTTTCTGCAGTCTGTGACAGAAGGCTCTGTCACCCCCTCAGTTTCCTGATCACAGCGCACGGCCCAGCAGGACCTCCAACCGGGTCGGTACCCCTGCCCCCGCGGCTGCGGTCTCGGCCCACGTGTCCCAGAGTCCGACCTGGGGGGCGCTTTGCCAAAGCGGGGAGACCGATGGGAAGTGAAAACGCAGGGGGGCCGAGGGGAAGGGAGGTTCTTCTCTGCACAGAGGGGACGTAGAAACTGACCAGTCACGCAGTGAGCCCCCAAGTTCAAAGCGCCCCCCGAAGTTTAAGGCCCCCACCCACCACGTTAAAAGGGCCGCGGTGGAATTCGATGGGCGGCTTCGCACCGGGAACAGCGCTGCTGGAGCTATGCTTCCCAAAGCAGGGAGCGGAGGTGTGGGAAGAGTCCGTGGTTCCCAGGGATGGGAATCCGGGAATCTGCTCGTCTTCCTACTGCCAGGCTCTTTTCCTGCATGGCGTGACATTGAGGGGTGAAGTACCGGCCCGGAGCTGGCAGCACAGGGAAGGGGGGGGCGTCGGTCCACCTTTCGACCCCCTTCCCATCAGCCCCTGCTTCCTCTCGCTCTCGCTCAGTCTGCCTGCCCAGCCTCTGCATTCGCTCTTTCTGCACTGACAGCTGTTTCTCTCTTACTCCCCCTCTCCCTCGCTCACTCCAATTCAGAGCTTCATCGGCACGACCAATCGATTAAACAGGTACAATCAACACAGCATTTACAGACACTTACAGTGCGCACCTTATGATCTGGGAATATCACTCTCTGTCCCTCGGGCTGCGACAGGAGATCACACGCTGGGCTGCAGCTCTGTTGAGTTTCCCCAACAATCCCTGGAGGATTGTGAGGTGTTC